CATAGTTTGAAAAATCTAAGGTTTACGACTTTGGGTTGCAAAGATATAGGGATTAAAAAATCAGAGATTATGACAAAGACTCAGTTCCTTTGAAATCATTTTAAATAATACAATTTAATTTGAGATTACTCTGATATGATATCAAGATTTCTTGAGATTACTCTGATATGATATCAAGATTTCTCGAGATTACTCTGATATGATATCAAGATTTCTTGAGTCTACGGGAAACCGTTTTTTCAAATTTACTTTTCAGAAATATAAATTTTGATTTTAATTCATCCCCCTCTGTTGTTTTTTACAAAATCTCTCTTTGACTATTTTTTTTTTAATTACCTTTAGCCTCCAGCATATTTTCCTTTTCATCTCTGATTGAACTAAATGTTAAGATTATTTATAAATTAGAGTTTTGTAAATGGGTTCAAAGCTGTTGAGTCTTTGCCACAAATTCAAATTTTATAATCCCTATACCTGTGAAACCTGATGGTGCAAACTCTTGATATTTCAAACTATAGATTATTTGATCTGACACAATTCAAAGTTTAAAATATCTAAGGTCTACGATACTGGGTTGCAAAGATATAAAAATTAAAAAATAAAAGCTTGTTGCAAAGACTCAATTCCTTTAATGAAACAATAAGAATAAACCTACTTTATATTTTGGTATTTAGCCTTGAATTCGTCTGTAAGGTTTAGCAATAATTTCTTGCTATGCTCTTCCATTCTGAAAAAAAAACTGTTTAAAAAATCCGAAAATCCTTAAATTCTTGAAATTTTCTTAATTTGTATTTGTTTCTGACTAGGTGTATGAAGGCTTATGAATGGTATATGAAGGCTTATGAAGGTGTATGAAGGTTTATGAAGATTTATAAAGGTGTATGAAGGTGTATGAAGGTATATGAAGGTTTATGAAGGTTTATGAAGGTATATGAAAATTAAGGTTATGAAGGTGTATGAAAGTGTATGAAGGGGTATTAGGGTGTAAATGAAGGTGTATGAGGGTGTATTAGGGTGTAAATGAAGGTGTATTAAGGTGTAGATGAAGGTGTATGAAGGTTTATTACGGAGTAAATAAAGGTGTATTAGGGTGTAGATGAAGGTGTGTATGAGGGTGTATCAGAGTACGAGGGTGTAAATGAAGGTGTATGAAGGTGTATTAATGTGTAAATGAAGGTGTATGAAGGTGTATGAGGGTGTATGAAGGTGTATGAGGGTGTATGAGGGTGTATTATGGTGTAAATGAAGGTGTATGAGGGTGTATCAGGGTGTACGAGGGTGTAAATGAAGGTGTATGAAGGTGTATTAGGGTGTAAATGAAGGTGTATGGGGGTGTATGAAGGGTGTATCAGGGTGTATGAGGGTGTATTTTTATGAACTGTATTCTGTGTAAGGTTATGTATGGTGTATGAGGGTGTATGAGGGTGTATAGGGTGTATGAGGATGTATGAGGGTGTATAGGGTGTATGAGTGTTTGAGGGTGTATGAAGGTGTATGAAGGTGTATAGGGTGTATGAGGGTGTATGAGGGTGTAAGAGGGTGCAAATGAGGGTGCAAATGAGGGTGTATGAGGGTGTATCAGGGTGTACGAGGGTGTATTATTATGACCTGTATTCTGTGTAAGGTTATGTATGGTGTATAAATATGTAAGCAGGTAAAAGAGTTAAGGTCTGAAGTAAACTGGTCTGAAAACCCCGAACACTGAAACCAGGAGATAAAATATAATTTTCCTCGCCCTATAATTACTTTTTGATTCACGGAGCATAGCAAAAATATTAACAAATTACTTTTAAATATTTGTAAAAAATTTTCACCGAATGATTTGCTATTTTATCGATATTTAAAAAACAAACATTTCTATTAAAAAAATAATTATGATTAAAAAGTGCAATGGACAAAATCTCTTTTATTTTCATCCTTAAGGAAACTAAATTTCTTATTTTTTTTTCAATTTTAAGTATTCCTTTCCTTGTGAACTCAAGCAACCGTTTCTGCACTCCTCCTTAGAACCCATTCAACCCTATCTCTTAAACCTAAATTAAGACCGGAAATTGTTAGGTTTAGCTAATACTCAAGCAACAGAGGTCCACCCCGCCCCCCTTCCAAAGGTTGAAAAAGAGAAATTTACAGAGACAAAACAGTGGAAAATGGTAAAAATATATGTATTTTGTTTAACAATTTTTAAAATTCTAAGATTTCATTCTGAATTTGTTCTCTCAAAAAATTTCACCACAGAAAGTCCTTCATATTTTCCATTAAAAGGCTAACGTTTCACCTTCAGATCATTTTCATTTCGGGTCGTCATTGCATTCTCCTCTTTTGTGGAGAACTCTGTATAAATATTGATTGATATAAATCAGCTTTAATACAAAGAATGATTCTATTCCAAGGTTTTCTATAAAATTTCGTATTTTTAGAACAAGGAAAATAGCATCAGAAAGAATGTACCTTTAAAATTTAGATAAAGCATTAAAATAATCAGTTTTCCAACGATCCAATTTGATAAAAATACACTTGCAAGCTGGAGTATATTTGAAAAATATACACTTGCAAGTTGGAGTATATTTGATAAAAATACACTTGCAAGCTGGAGTATATTTGATAAAAATACACTTGCAAGCTGGAGTATATTTGATAAAAATGCAAAAATGAAATGAAGGCCGGGTAAAGATATATAGTTTCTCTGTTCTCATTCTCAAAATGTTAGAAATGACTTTTAAACAAAAATAATCACATTATACAAAAATAGCCAAATCATTAATTGCAAACAATTTATTTATTTAAAAAATAATTACCGGGAATACATACTTCAAGTAAAAAAATAGATTTCTTCTTTCTTTTACTTACTTAAAATTTTTTTTTTCGCTTTTCTTTTCCTTCTTTTCATTTCTCATGGAAAAATTCCTGAGAAATTATGAGGAATTTCTTGAGGCTGTCTTTTATTCAATTCCCCAAAAAATCCGTAAAATTGGTGACCAAGACCTGAGAATTTCTCAGGAATTTCCGGAGAAAAATTTTGTAGAAGTTCTCAGGATTTTCTCCATGAAAAATTCCTGAGAATTTCTCAGGAATTTCCGTAGAAATATTCAGGAAATATGCTTAGGAAAAATTCCAGAGAATTCTCCGGAATTTCCAGAGAAATATTCCAGAAAATTTCTCAGGAATTTCTTGGGAAAAATTCCGGAGAAAATCTCAGGAATTTCTCGAAACTCTGATCCCTTAAAAATCTCTCAAATTGGGGACCATATTCCGGAGAATTTCACAAGAATTTCCGAGGAATCAGTCACATGAACTTGTTCTCGAGAAATTCCCCGGAAATTCCAAAAAGCAAGTCACCAAAACTGGAGAACTTGGAGAAATTCCTCACTTTTGTTACCTGGGTCATTTGAACTATATCGAATTATTTAAAAGTCATTTGAACTATTTATGTTCATTTGAAATATTGTTTTGTTCAAATTCAAACTGCACATATGCCCATCTCAAAATTATAAAACTGATGCTATAGTCATATGTGTTTAAAGAAAATAGTTCAATGAGAAAATACTGTGTTGATTTAAACTACAGGATATGACGTTATGTCAGTAGTTCAAATGAACAATAGTTCAAACGACCAATAGGTTAAACGACCAATATAGTTCAAACAACCAATAGTTCAAACAAATATCCACCCAAAATAATGTTGAAATAAACGAAGACGATAAGTATTTGCAAGAAAATTTTAAAGACGGCATTTGCGCTCAAATATGTCCGCATTACAACAACAACGCAGTGTTGAGCCTAGCAATTTGGGGTCTATTTATCCAAAATTCTTTCGAATACTTCGTGAATGTTATGCATTTACTATCCGTTAAAGTATAAAATAGATATTTGCCTAAAATGGTAATTTCCTAGAGAACGATCTTTGTCCTCTGCAGCGCTCGGCCCAGAAATCATTTTAACCTAACCTAACCCTAAAATTGATTGGAGGGAGAGGGGGGGGGGGTCTAAAATCGTATGTTAGGACGAACCCAATTTCAATATCACATAAAAGCACAATTATTACAAATCCCATCTTACCGATCTAAGATGATTAGTAATCGTTTATTTCTATACGCACCACTTTAGGCAGGGGTCTTATTCGGACTCTGAGAGTAGAATGCCCAAAACTTCTCGCAGAGAAAATAGCGGGGTTTACAGGATTTTACTGGTTTTAAAGCATTTTTTTCGCGGAAACATCGGGTCTGTCCTAGTGAACGATTTTTGGACCCCCCCCGGGCCCCCCCCTTCCTATCAATTTTGTACATGATCATTTATTTTTCACCAAATTTATTGTTATTTATTTTTTTGTTATTTAGGGTTAGGTTAGGTGAAGAGGGTCTGTCCTAGTGAACGATTTTTGGACCCCCCCAGGCCCCCCCCCTTCCTATCAATTTTGTACATGATCATTTATTTTTCACCAAATTTATTGTTATTTATTTTTTTGTTATTTAGGGCTAGGTTAGGTTAAGATACTTTCTGGGCCTAGCGCTGCGGCTAGGATGGGATAGGGGGCCGAGCGCTGCGGCCACGGGTTAGGTTAGTTAAGACACTTTCTGGGCCGAGCGCTGCGGCTAGGATGGGCTAGGGGGCCGAGCGCTGCGGCCACGGGTTAGGTTAAGTTAAGAAACTTCCTGTCACACCCATGTACAAAATTGAAAGGAGGGGGGGGGGGGTCCAAAAATCGTTCTCTAGGAAATTACCGGTTAAGATACTTTCTGGGCCGAGCGCTGCGGCCACGGGTTAGGTTAGTTAAGACACTTTCTAGGCCGAGCGCTGCTGCTAAGACAGGCTAGGGGGCCGAGCGCTGCGGCTACGGGTAAGGTTAAGTTAAGACACTTCCTGTCAGACCCATGTACAAAATTACAAAATCGTTCTCTAGGAATATACCGAAACATCTTGAGTGATATAAAGGGGATAGCTTTGATTCTTATTTTAAAAATTGAGCAATATTTGTATTCTAAAAAGGACAATCACTGCAATGGTTCCCCTTTTCACACAATCAACCTGTTTCAGAACCTGTGACCTTTTTATTCAAACATTCTACACAGCATGGGATTTGTCTGAACATGGAAAAAAAAGAGAAAAAGTCCAGCAAAAGATCGAACGAAGAAAATATGGACGAAACTACAGCAAAGAAGTCTAACTATGACTCTTCAGGTTTTTTTTTCATTATTAAAGTAAATTGTGTTATTTAATATTTTTAATTTTAGCTATTTCTAATGTTTGTATTTTAAGGAGAGAATACCTATCATCTAAAAATGTTGATTCCAAGTGTAGCCGCCGGCGGTGTTATTGGCAAAGGCGGCGAAACAATCGCCGAATTGCAGAAAAGTGTTGGTGCCAGAGTTAAAATGTCGAAACCGAACGATTTCTATCCTGGGACTCAAGAACGGGTTTGCTTAATCACTGGGAATATTGACGCTATCTCCACTATAGTTCACTTCATCAACAATAAGATCAAAGAGAAACCGGATCCACACGCCAAGTCTGCCATAGACTTCGACAATAAACTGGCAGCAGAACGGGAGAAACAGATGAAGGTGATATTTAATTTGAATTCATTCCATGGGTATATATTTTCTGAGATAAATGAACCCCTGTGCCCGTTTTGGGAATTTTAGCATTTTCCCTAGAAACAATACCTAGATCCACAGGAATTGTTCAGCTATTAACATGATGGGGCAACATCAATTCTCCATTGCGCACCTCTTTAATACACATGAGTCTCTTATATTCTTTATTTCTGGTACAGCGATACAGAGCTAGGACCCGTGAACTGAAAAACAATAAATCAGTCACGGGTTGCATAAATATTAAATTAGTAATAGAATAATTTAAATAAATAAAATTAGCCAAGTTTACATTAAAATTTGCTCCAGGTGTGCTAAGTGTGATTGAATTTTAACAACAATTATGAATTTAAATAACACTTACAATGTGCTAAATGTGAATAAATTGTAACAAATATATATAAATTAAGATAACACTTACAAAGTTGATTAGGCCGGAGAATTTAATAGCTCTAGAGTTGATGTTTGTGACCAGCTGTCTCTTTTACATAACTAGAAATAATAAGAAGAGTTTATATAAAGGCTTGTCATGTGTTAGATAAGATAGCCACACTTTCGTCTTTAATTGTTCACAGATATCGCACGTAACTTGATTATACCTTTATCTGCTCGAAAGCAGCNAAAATTTCAAATATTTGTCTCCATCAAAATTCGATCTTCATTAAATTTTTTAAAATTTTGAAAATCCACGAAATTTTTTGTGAAAATCCGCGAATTATTTTTGTTTTGTTTTACGATGTACACAAAGAGAATATGTTCACAATTAATTTAGAAGATAGGCGCGAAGCGCCCTCTAAGGCTAGTAATTTATATTTAAAGGAGAAAATAAATAATTTTTTAGTGAAAAGTATCTTGGTCGGATGATAAGCTTACTAGTTGATGATCATATTGCATTTTCCCCAAAAATCCTCGTGAATAAGTGAGAAAAAATATTTTACTCTCTAGGTCTTTTTTCCAAGACTGATTTAAGATGAGCATTGAAAAAGAGTGTCTCCTTTATTCCTATTAATCTAATCATACATGTTATTAGGTTATAGTCCCGAATAGCACTGCGGGTATGATCATCGGTAAGGGCGGATGCTTTATTAAACATCTCAAAGAGAAGTCTGGAGCATTTATTCAACTCTCACAGAAATCTAAGGAGACAACACTACCTGAGCGAGTAATCACAATCATCGGTGATCTTATTTTAATTATTTCATTTCTTGTTTGTTAACTCTAAACCTTATTTTGCCAATGCCGAAATATTTTAAATAAGTAATCCCAACAAATTACGCATAGACGCCAGACGGTTATTCATTTTATTAATGATTGTTCTTTGAAAAAAAGAAATTGAGTGTCAAATCCCAGTTTTTAATATGTTCAAAATACCAAATCTGACATCTAAAAACTTCGGGTAAGTGTAGAAAAAAATTGCTATTGGTGTTTAACTTCATAAAATATAGAAAATGGTCACTTCTTCATCTTTGTTGACAATTGATAATTAACATTGAAAGTTTTTTTGTAAATCGGTGAATTTTACCACCTTAAATGCCACATTTGGGTTATATGACCTGATTTGGAACCATAAACTGAGCTTTTGTGCAGAATATTCACAATCCTGATCGCTTGAACACGATATTCTTTGTGGGCACTTTTAATTGACGATCAATGTTTAATTATTCATAATTGTTATCCCTCCAGAGTACTGCTTGATATCGAATAAAGATTAGATTAATCTGCAGATTACCAAAAAACGAGATCAAGTCTTGATCTCGATATCCACAATTTAGAAGTTCCCACTTCCCAGCTCTGGATTTGAAAGTAGTGTTTATATTTTATTGATATTTCCTGTGTTTAAGGTGATGATGATAACAATAAGGAGGCGTTGAACTGTATCCTACAGAAGGTTGTAGAGGATCCACAGTCAGGGTCTTGTCTTAATATTTCTTACAGTGAAATTCAGGTTTATTTAATTTCTTATTTCCTACAGTGAAATTTTGATTAATTTGATTCTCATATTTAATACTTTCTTATTGTCTTCCTTTTTTCTAACGAAAACTAGGACATTTTTTGGGTTAAATTCAAGGACATATATCTTTATAAATGAATTTTGTAACTTTTTATTGTATCGTTAGAACCCCCTGAACTCGAAGTAACAAAGTGGGTACAAGAATGATTTTCATAAGATGGTTGTGGGAGAAAAGAGTACACCTTTAGAATTTGAATATCAAAACCATGACAAACATGAAATCAATCAATAAACCTTGTGTTTAGGGACCTGTGGCCAACTTCAACCCTACCGGATCTCCTTACGCTAATGGAGTACAAAGTATGTTATATTTATATAACAGTGCACAGTAAAAGAAAGATTCTGTAAAAACTGAGGAAACCAATCTAATGTGTATCCAAATTGATAATCGAGTAGTTAAAAGTAGTTTTAGGTCGGAAACCCCATAAGTCAGTTTCCTCTCTAGCTTGCTTGTCTTTTTTATTAAACAAATTGCAAGAACAGTTCACAATACAATTGTATAAATTATTTTTTAGATTCCAACCAGATTATGAACTCTAACATGAATCCGAACATGAACCCTAACATGAACCCGAACATGAACCCGAACATGAATGAGAATATGCAGAACTTTATGGAGGGATACCATCTACCAGTTATTGGTGGTAAGTACAGTTTATCCACGTTATTATTTTTGTCTTTGTGATTGTAAATGTTATTGTGATTGTGATTTTGATGGTGATGGTGATGGTGATAAACAAGCTTTTTACATTTATTGTTCATGACCTTTATCTGTATTCCCAACAAAATGAAATAGATCCTTAGCACTGCTATAGTTGTCAAGTAGATATTAAACTATTTGTATTTTGTGAACTTTAAACTATTCAGAGCAGTCATAACAACACCGGAATATTACTCATTTCTGAGAGCAATGTGTATTGTATATCTATACTTACTTGGAATACTTGATGTTTAATCCCCAGGGCTCCAGTTAGGAACATAGCGGGAATCTCTGGTCTGGACCTCACGGAGTAGAGATCTTAACCTCACATTGTGCATCCTCATTGGTTTAGTCCTCGCTCTCTAGTCCTAGGACAACGATTTTCTAGTTAAACAAATGATTATCGAGCAAATTTTTGAAGATATTAATTGATTTTGCTTTCTTAATGTCCGGCGGCAAGCTGTTCCATTGGTTAGCTACTCGATTTGAGTGAACATTTTGCCTTAGATCCATTCTAGAGTGTTTTGGGATTATATTGTCCTTATACGCCGTCCGTCTGGTAGGTCTTGCAACTTCTGAACCAACCAGATTGAACCAAGTATCAGCCTCTACTTTGTCATAACCTCTGATTATTTTAAATGTCTGAATAAGGTCAAATCTTTTTCTTCTCTGGTCCAGCGTAAGGAGTCCAAGTTCATTTAGTTTTTCCAAACTGAAGGTTTTACCTTTGAGCCCTGTTATCAGATTCACTGCTTTAATCTGTACTTTTTCCAATACTTCCTTATCACTGACTGTCCATGGGGACCAGGCTGTGACAGAAAATTCTAAATGACATCTTACGAATTGGGTATAAAGTTTGAGGAACGTGACCCGATCTCTGTAAAGGAATGCCTTAGAAATTTGAGTTAGAACCCCCGTAGCTCTCCTAGCTGCCTCTGAACACTGTAATGAAGGCTTTAATGATTTTTCTGTGATTACTCCAATGTCTCTCTCCTTGTCCACAGACTCCAGCCTTACTCCGTTCATTATATACTCAAAATTCTTGTTTGCTCTACCAACATGTAGAAACTGAAATAAAAAAAATCCTTGAAAAAGTCATTCTTTACAAGATTTTGTGCATTCGTCCCTTTCCTACTTTAAACGAAAAAAACTGCGGTGGTCTAAACTCTAAATTAGTTGATTGCGAAAAGTTGCTGAATTGTGTTCGTGTTTAATTTTTTAATTTGTTTAAGGTGGAACCCTGAATATGCGACTGAATTTCAACCCTCAAATACAAGGAGGAGATGGTAGAAGTGTAAACCAGTACCTGGGATTTGTTAATAATAGTCTCAAGGTAATTCATTATTGGACCCTTTTTAATTGGTCGAATTTTTTTTCATTTTTTATTCAGCATGTTTGTTTTTGACCTTTCTGTTTTCTTTAAAAAATTGTTTAGGAAAAAGGATATTATGACAAGGCCGCTGACGAGTGCACAAAAGCATTCAGTGTCCTTTGTATGCACGGTATATTACAGGTAAATGAATCAGGGATTGGGAGGTATATTTTCTTGGAAAAAAATCCCCCTCTATTTTAAAATCATTTTTCCCCGCCCCCGGAATTAAGGTTTGTTTGCACTGGATGGCAAAAAACGGAATTTTTTTCGACGAAGTTAGGAAATTAAATGTTTTTTTTTAGTGGGGGAGGTTGGGGACGGGGTGTTATTCTTAAAATTATATAAAATGAAGTTTTAAAACTAGCATTGTTTATAAATAAAGGTCCAAAGGGGGATTTATTGAATCTGTGACAACAAATTTTAAATTTTCCACATTTCTTCATAAAATAATTTTTTCCGTCTAAAATTTATAATTCAGCCAGAAATGCTGTTAATTATTTTTTGTGTCCTTTCTTATTGGAATAATCAAATCTTATCATATATTTTCTAATAATTCATAACAATTATTAACAAAATATTATTACATAAAAATATGCAAAACTACTGCAGAATTTTGAAACCCGGAAAAAATGACTCTTGTATTTTTTTAATCTTTTAATCAAAGATAAATTCTAATTAAGTTTTTTTTAAAAATTATTTCTAGATGAATATGCTGACTCCGCAAATGCTGGGATATGAGGGTGGAGGAATGGGAGGAAATATGTCCCTCTCAAATATGTTTGAGGGACAGAATAATCATTCAAATGGTGGTTGTGGTATTACAGACTCTATTAGGGCCAACATGGGGTTACCCCCGCCACCGCCGACCCCTCCAAGCCAAGGACCCTTTGGACCCGCCGGTCTAGTGACCGCCAATGAAAGTAACGGCGGGTTTAAGCGCCCGTCCTATTCAAACTATTCGAACCAGTCTATGCCGGTCAATAATAACTCTTTTGGACTAGGTACACAAGGTAACATTTTTTCCAATTTTTTTTTTAGATATTAAGGAATTGAAAATTGCTAGCTTTAAAAAAGATGGTTATTTTTAAAGAATTTTAACCCTACACTAGTTTTTTCAAAAACAAACAAAAACTTTTTTTTCCCATTCAAAGCAACATAATTATTTAATTCAATGATAGTTAACTTATGTTGGTAAATCCTCGTAATTCTTTTCTTGTTTCTTGGCATTCGCATGATGGGAGGAGCGGGAATGATTTTTCAAGGGGGGGGAATACTATTTTAGAATTGTTATTATTAAATATTTAATTTAGGGAACCCAATGCATTCGAATATTGGTGACGATCATTCGTCGAAACTTGAGATCGAGGTAAACGAGTCCTTGGTAGGAGCGATCATTGGTCCTGGTGGTCGATCCATCGTAGAGATCCAACAGTATTCAGGTACATTTATACAAAATGAGATTAATTATTAAGTCAACCATAGAGTTTGTAGAAAAAAAGATGAGGGTGAAATTGCCGGGCAATCTTTTTACAACAATGGTCTGCTCCCCTTGTTGCCCTTTCCTTAAGTGTTTTTTTTTTAAATCATAATTTGAACTTTTTTCAACTTTCATTAATATTGTGATATTTACATTTTTGTGATGGAAATTCATTAATGCAGAAAATGTATCAATAATTGTTACTTTTTGATCTAGGAACCACTGTACAGATCTCCAAGAAAGGAAACTATTCCCCTGGAACCAGGAATAGAATTGTTACAATCTCAGGTCAGATTAATTATATGCACAAAGGTCCAACCTCTCTCTAG